CTAATTAATCAAAATGAGCTGTAATCAAGCTAACAATTAGTGATTAACTATAGTTAGATTGATCGTTCCTTTGTTCAAAGGAAAATCGATTTTTGTATTTGTATTCGAATACATTGACAGTTCATTAGAATCGATTTTTTTCTCTTCAAAAAAAATCGAACCTCAAAATCAAGAAAATAATCGATACCAAATATTTCCGATGCATTGACGAATAACACATAAGAGAATATCGACTGGACTTGATAACAATTCGGTCTAACTAATCAACGAATACCGATAAAGGTGGATTGTAATAATACAATTAAAACGACTTAAGAATAATCAAGAAAGGTATTTGATGCAATCAACAATACGAACTACCCAAACCAACATATTATTACTACAGTTCATTTTAATTTGTCGAAACAATTGAGTAACTTAGTTATTAGTTCCAATTGTGTTTCATTTGTGCTATTGGTGATTAATTTGTCGAAACAATTGCCCAAATTTCACAAGTTTTTGGGTCCGTGGGGTGAAATTAGAGAGGTGTGACTGTAGTTTCATTTTGTATTCAGTATGGATAACAATGAAGAAATTTTGTTTAGCTATTCAGCCAACTCACGTGATGAAATAAATCACTTTCTTCTAATAAAGAAAAAGAAAGATGATTCATTTGTTTACCGAATGTTTATAAGTTCATGGATGCCACCATGCAACTGGTGATGTTGTTGATGGACCAGACTTCAGTGCTGAGTGTTCATTGGAGAAATTTAAAAGCTTCTTATTGCTTTGGATGATCCAATGGATTGCCATCATAGGTGGACAACTTTTAAAGTCTTATATGATTGCTATACTGAAGAGTAAAGACTTCACAGAAAAAGTTTGGAGAATCTTTGAACAAATATGGTCAAAAGTAAAAAGTATAAAAGCCGACTTCACATCATAAAAAACCACAGTTTAGTTTTTTGAACAAGATGGACAAGCCGGAAAATATTTTTGATTATACAAAATGTTCAAAGCCAATAACACAACATTATGTATTGAAACGGAAGCAAGGCGATAATGGAACATGGACTATCAGATGTGTATTTACTCTTTGTTCGTTCGTTTACAAAAAGAGCTGTTTGATGATGCATCTCACGCGAGTCGGCACAGTCGTTTTCTCTTTCTTGACGACAAACGACAGTGGCGACTCGCGTGAGATTTATCCCCAAACAGCTATTTTTTCAGGAGATCGCAGTCTCTTCTTATATTACTCTTTGACCAAATACCAAACGTTTAAGAACATTAAAGATATTGTGAGGAGATACATTTGATTAAGATGATTTCCTTTGCTCTTCGTTCGGGGTAGAAAGATTTAAAACAATATCTCGACTGGTGGAAGGTGTATCATCATGTAGAATAGGGTTTTCTCCTGTATCTAAACGCTCATGGGTGATGATGTATAAATTTATCAATTCGTTGAAAGTCAAACCTGAAAATATAAGTTGTTGCATAAACTCTATTTGTTGATTACTAAACCTCATTCACGTAGTTCCAGATCAGCTATTTCGTCGTCCAGTATTAGTTCCAGAAACCAGTCTTCTGGTCCAGTTATTGATAAGTGATGCAAAATCAGTAGATCAATTATTTTTTGTATGGCTTCTTGAATCTGGACTACTACCACTGTTAACTCTCTTAGGTGTTTGCCTATGAACATTCGAGTTTTGAAACTTAGATCAATTCGATACAGTTTATTTCGCCTTGAACCTAAAGCTGTCTATAGTTGTTTTGGTGCTTACGTTGACCTTAGCAAAAAATTTCGATAATTCTAGTAGCGATAATGATTCGTGAAACTCTCGATCTTCGATGAAAAGCTTTATTATGTCTAGTATAGTGATTGGTCCAAATAAATTTCCAATGAAGGTGTCAATAATGGTAAAAGTTCGGATGGAATAGATAAGGAGTTGATAAACGGTTGTGGTCAAGATAAAGGATCGAAGGTGAAAGGCTAAAATTAAGTCGACCAGGTTAACTTAAGGTAATGGATAAATGGTATAAGTACAAGCATGCAAGGTTATGAATAAGGTGAAGAATCAATTATTACAAAAGGAAAAGGAAAAAGAACACTCAAAGCCTAAGCCCTTGAAGATGGTCCTGTTACAGGTCAGTCTGAGAGAGAGGTAAGCAGCTCAGCAAAAGGAGGTTCTGGGGAACACAAGTATGGTGGTAACGGCGAAATGGGGGAGCACGAGATTGGAGGTGATGGCGGATTTGAGGGAACAAGGGAAACACAATGATGGTGGTAGCGGCGAAACTGGGGCACACAAAATTGGAGATGGTGGTGAAACTGGGGGAACTGGGGGACACAAAGATGGCGTCGGTGGTGGTGAACACCAAATATTTAAAATAATACTTCTAAAACTGCAACTTCTTAAGAGAAGTATAGCACAGAGAGAGAGAAAGAAAAAAAACTAAGTGTTGATGTTGATGGTGACAATGTTGAGTCGTAATTGACTTCGCAACCCTCTGTCTTTCTCTCTTTTTCTTTTATATCCAATTCGGCCCATTGCGAAAGAGAAAAGACGGAGCATAAGAAAGAGGTTTGACCCCCCAAACAAAGAGAAAGAATGAGCCTCTTCCTTAGGGCCCCAAAGTTAATTGGATGCAATCTTAAACTTTTCCTGCTTTTCCCTAGAGAGATGGTCATTTATAATGTACACCTTTCCTAATGCTTTCTCTTCCTCCTAAAAGTAATTTAGTTTTCCTGCTTAATGTAGAAATGGAAAAGTCATAAAGAAGTTAATTTCCCTGGAGAGAGGAGGAGTAAAGATACATACATTTACTTCTGCTCTCTTGTCAATGATAATCAAAATTAATAGGTTTTTAGGAGGAAAAACTCCCAAATAAAAATAATAGCATTGGGGTGAGAAGAGAGGTTATAATACCTTTGCGTGTGTTAATATCTTGACTTTTATCCCCTCACAATATCAACACTAAAGTAAGTTTGTTTTTCTTTTTGATATTATCTTTCCTACCTGAAAATTATCTTTAGATAACATTATCTTGATCTTAGATTATTTCAAGATAAAATTACATAATCTCGAGGTAAGATAAATCAATCTGAAGATAAGATTAGAAAAGATAATATCAAGATAATCTAATCTCAAGATTATGTTATCTTATCTTAAAATAATCTTATCTTAATTTTTTTAAATGTCTAATTTGATTGACAATAAGAGCACTTTGTTATTAACTTATTTAAAATATTCACAATTGAACATAGATTAAAAACGCAACAATGATAAAAAACTTAAGTTGGCCGTAAGAAGGTTCGATATTAAATGACGTTATGTAGCAAGAGAAATCTTTATTATAAATACAATAACAATTAACTATATTATTAAGTTTATTTCTCTTTTATAATTATGTTAATAATTAACATTATGATGCTAAACATCATTATCAAAGGAAAAAATGAAGAACAGATTGGGTGTAGAAAAAGCGGAAAAGATAATCATATATTAAGATCAAGAGGAGAAGAGAGGAAGAAATAAGTGAATTAAGAAGGGGAAAGGAATGGGATAGGCGGGAATAAAGAGAAAAGAAAGGTAAAGGGGAAGGGACAAAGCTTTTGTGCAGAGGCAGTGGCTTTGCCCTACTATCTTTTTGTTGATTTGATAATTTTCCTCAAATTCGAGAAAAACTTTGATCGAACTAGAAAGGACATCAGGCCATGAGATAAATAGGTGATACCTTTTGAGACAGGGTCCATTATCTCAAAAAGGCGCAAGTCAAGGCAAAAAATTTTTCGATTTTTGGATTGACTGACATTGTTTCTGTGTGAAACCGTACTAAAAACTTGGTTCTCAGGCTATGCCAAGGCAACTTTACCACTTTACAACGCTGATATTGGTTTTTGTCGATTTTTTCGAAAAGTCGTCAGTCGGCACATTTTTTCATTTCTTTTTCATATGTTACAGAGCAAGATCTATCAGAACATGTGCAGAAAAGTTGGTCTTCAGGGTAGTCCAAAGATTCTATTCAAGTCGGAATGAAAAAAAATTGTTTTCTGTGTCTAAAGAGCCTCACGTTCAAAATAAATTGCAAATATATATTTTTCTTAAAGAACAGCTCAAGAGCTTCCGTTTGATCTCAAGATCAGCTATATAAGTATATTAATTCGATCACAAAACAATTCAGACCATTTTCCCGTTTTTGGCGAATTTTACGAAATCCGCGAGTCAGATCAAAAAATTGAAAAATACATGTTGATTTGTTTTAACTCATAAGTTCGAAAATAAAATAAAATCACATCAAAAAGTTTAGGCTAAAAACAGTCAAAAATGCCTGATGTCCTTTGATTGATTCAAATCTCGCACTTTTTCCGATTCAATCGAAGTTAATTGTTAACATTAATTGAACTTAACATTTAATTCAAAGCCATGAATTAATTGTTCAGTAGCTTTCTGAATTTCTGATATTAATCAGATTTTAATTTATGAGTGATTCATATCTTAATTTGGAAAATATCATAAATTCTGGTTCAATGTTCAGAAACTAGACAAAGCTGATAATTAATTGTATCACCGTTAAAATGATAAACTGATTAGCGTCATGTTTTCATGTAATTGAATCTTATCTGAGAAATACAATTGTTTCAATGATTAAATATTAATCACTTTACCTTTCAGGTGATTTGTATAAATTGTTTAATCTTTATCAGTATTCATATGAATCCTCTTTAATCACTAATCCAATCACAATTATAATCTGTTATCAAAGTTTAGATCAATACTGAAGACGAAGGCTACTTAAAATGTTTAACTAATTGTTCAACTTTCTCTAGATTAACAATGAAATAATATCAGTTGTTGACAATTTATCAGTTGATTTTCAAGTATGATTAACGATAAATCCTATCAATTGTTATCTTAATCAGTTTTTTTAGTATCTAATTCAATTTATCTCAATTGCCGGCAAACAACATGATCAATTTAACCTAATCAATTGATGAACTCAATCAGTTGATTTTGATTGTAACAAGAAAATGTATTTTAATCATATGATTTAATAGATTTAATTGTGAATATTTACCTTTTCAAATCACCACCAACAAGTGAATTGGTTTTTTTAACCCTTTTAATTAAATTGTTTGATATTTGAATTCTTGTTCAATTTGATTGCCATGAAATTAAAATGCACTTTAATCAATGTGACAACTTTAATTATCTTGTTTGTGGGAATCATTTTAGTTTCAATTGCCAAGCCCAATAGACGAGGATTCTGGTGCTCAGATGAATCAATTAAATACCCAAGGCAACCGGACACTGTTGGTGGTGGTCAATTAGCTGTTATAGTCTTGGTGATACCTTTAATTGTTATCATTTCGGGTGAATTAATTGCTCATAAATTGAATCTAAACACAAGGAAATCCTGGCGAAGACAATTAAATGTAAATGGTTCCAATCACATTGAACAAGCAGCGAAAGTTTCAACTGACCACTCGGTCTCCTCTTGGTCAGTTAATATCAACTCCATTATCATCAGTTGGTTGTTTAGTTTGTTCTTGACCGCTCTGTTGACCGGATTCATAAAGACTCAGGTCGGCCGATTGAGGCCAGTTTTTTACTCTCAATGTAAATCGAGTGTCTCTTGTGATGATCAACAAAATCATGGAGTCTATTTGACCGATTATGTTTGCAATATTAAACCATCGGAGGAGATTTTCATTAGAACCTCATTTCCTTCCGGTCATTCATCTTATTCAATGTCTTCGATGGTCTTTCTTATTGTTTATATTGGTCAGCGATTTTTAATCAATCGGACAAACAGTTTAAGGTATCTAATTGCTTCGGTGCAAATGTCGTTCCTCATCATCGCTCTTTATGTTGGACTTTCTCGAGTTTCCGATAATATTCACCATTGGTCCGATGTTCTGGTTGGCCTTATTCTCGGTGCTGGAGTTACACTTATCTGTACCCTATTTTTAGGATTTTCAGGTGACCAATGGTCAATCGGTGAATGTGATAATAAATCGATACCAAAGGATGAGAATCAAGAGCAATTGGAAACATTTTGAAATAAAAAGACAATTTAATTCTGTAATTTAAACCAATTCGATTGTTTTTTGCTAATCAATACTTTTGTCTGACAATCAAATTTAATTGTTTTGTATCTTATCCTCTTTTAATTATCATTTTGATTTGTTACAATTGATTTTCCTCCCTTCTAATTGACAAGTATTAGATTCAATTAACATGTTGATTGAATTGATTATGAAAATAAAGAGAACGAGATTAGTTTTTGTGATGAAAATTAAATAAAATCTTTGATTTAATCAAAATTGCTCTCTAATTGTTGACCTAATTAATGACAAATCACCATAATCACAATTATCATTAGTTACACCAACAATGCTGTCGATAAAGAGACGAGGCCATTTATCAGAACAAAATCTTTTAGTTAAGACAAAACCGTAATTACAATTAGATCAATTAAATTAGAAATTGGTTGATTAGTTAACCTTAAATACTTAATATCGAAAATATTTTCTTAGTAATTGTTGCAATCTCAAAGTTATTTTCATCAAATTAATCATAACACTAATCTAAATCTTGTCATTCAAAGTGAAAATAATCAACTTGATCAAAAGTCACTACTGATTTAAAGTCAAATTGATAATTTGTATTAACTTTAAACTGGAAGCTGAATTAGATTCAGCACCTTTAATGACCAGTAATTAACCAACGATTTACTTACGAGGGCGACAACTCAATTTCAGAGCTTCAACTCCATTCATTAACTTTTTTCAACATGATCAAATTAATTAATTGCCTTTGATTTGGGCTGATTGTCAGTTGATCAGTTGTTGATTCAAATTAAGTCGATAGTTGGTTTAATTGTCACTTTTTTTGACGATTGAATTCAATTGTTGCGAATCTTTCAGTCTTCTATCATTCATCTTCATCAACACCATTCGTCACAATCATATTCTTCTTCTTCTATAGTCTTTATCTGGACTAATCGACAACCAAAGAATTGGAAAAAACTTTTTTTTCGTCGAATTTTCCTTCGATTCAAATTTCCCGCTCATTTCACTCGAAGAGCTTTTTCTCCACTTTGGTCGCCGTCTGGTGGTCGAAAAGGTTAAGTGTCAATGGAACTTTTTTTTGGGTTAAATTGAGAAAATCATTTCCCTCTCATCTCTAAATTGTTTTCGCTTTTGTTTAATTTCCGTTGGTTCATCTCTTCTTTAGTTAATCTTGTCTTTTTTTCTATTAATTAAGCCTTCTGCTTCATCTAATTACATTGTTAGAGTAAATCTGATTTTCTCTTGTTGGCCTTTCTCAATTTTCCTGTTTGAGTCTTCGTGTTGAGAATCAAAATGATTAAAATCGAACCAGAGAAAATAATGAGAAAAATTGACCCCAATTTGATTCCCGAAAAGGTAATTGGAGTAATTCACCATGATCCTGATGGTCTATTGGTCAAGATGAAGTGGAAAAATAAAGATGAGAGACATTTTATCCCTTCAACTCTAGCGAATGCTAAATGGCCTCAATTGGTCATTAATTATTACCAACAAAGGATCCGATGGCAAGAGATTTAAAGTGTCGATTGTTGATAAATTTGCCATCACCTTCATCTTCTTAATCACCAACAATAAGAACTACAAACGCGTTCAAAGAGATTATCATCACCCTAATCAGTTATGTCTATTAATTAGTCTAAATGTACATATAATTACTTTTCTTCTGTTATCAAATGTTTCAAGTCTATTTCTTCATACAAAAAAAAGGATAAATCATCTTCTCGTGATTAAATAAACATAAATTGTTTCAACAGTTCAATCTAAGTATCTAAATCAGATTGTGTGAGAAAAAAAGTTACAATTGTTACCGAAAACATGATAATTGTGAAAAAATGGACACAAAATTGATGGAAAAGGTTTATCATAATTTAGTGGGAATTAAATTGTTGAAAATATTTATAAATTTGTTGCGATTGTGTTTAAACAGTCAAAGACTTTGAGCTCGCAATTATATCATTAACACACAGGTAATGATAAGCAGGAGATTATATTGAATGAGAGGAAATTATTTTTTATCATTCTCTGGATTAACTTTGTCCCTCGTTGATAATATTTAATACGATTTCAGTTAATTAACAAACTAAACCAAACGATTCGTTTAAACTGCTTCCTCGATCGTCATAATTTCTGGATTGACAAATTCGAATCCATCAAATTCTGATTGATCAATTTTATCGATGATCTTCATGTCGGGTGGAGTTAATTCAATTGGTTCCGTTGTGAAACTCGGATCGAAATGTTTCAAGGGATCGTCTTCCATTTGAGGTACATAGGGCGGAAGAATCCGTTTCTCGGCCAAAAGATCCCAGTCCAATAGCTTGAAGAACGGGTGACTTTTGACATCGAGAAATCCTTTTCCATCCGAAGCGCATCCTAATCGTGTCTTTGGACTTTTATCGAGAAAACCTTTTAGGATATTTGTCGCTTTCACGGAGATTGACCTTGGAATACGAATCGTCGTGGTAACTATATCATTGAATAGAGCATCTTCACTGCTCTCCCCTTCCTTATTGCTAACAGTGAAAGGAGATTGACCGATTAACATCTCATATAAGAGAACACCCAACGCCCACCAATCAATACTGAATGAATATTCGCAGCCTTGGATTATCTCAGGAGCGATGTAATTTGGTGTACCGCAGAAGGTACTTGTCGTTTCACCAGGTCGAATACCCTCTTTGCACATTCCGTAATCGGTTAACTTTATGTGTCCATATTGGTCAAGTAAAACATTATCCAATTTAAGATCTCGATAGATGATGAACTTTTCATGCAGATAATTGAGTGCCAATGAAATTTCAGCAGCGTAAAATCTTGCGTGATCTTCGGGTAATCTACGTTTACGTTGCATATGGAACATTAGATCACCTCCGCTAACAAATTCAATGACAAAAAATAATTTCGAAAGTGTTTGAAAGCAGGAATGAAGTCCGACCAGAAAATCACATCCAGTGGCTATTTCGAAAATGTGTTTCTCCGCTTGAACCCAGTCCATATCTTCATCAGCAGCAACGATCTCCTTCTTGATTACTTTCATTGCGTATCGTCTTTTGGTCTCTCTCAATTCAACTAATAAAACTTTGGCATATGAACCTCGACCAATAACTCGTAGAAGATCAAAATCATCTAAACAATAATGACGAGCTCCATTTTCAGCGACCACCAGTTCATCTGATCGCCGTTGATTGTCTTCGCCTTCAGCTAATGAAGCTTCATTGTCATCTCTAGAATCTCGTGTCCGAAAAATACTTTTCTTTTCGTACCGTCCAGTTCCTTTTCTACTGGTAAAAGATCGCTTAGGCTCCGGTGTAACAGATTGGCTGGAAGGTCCATTGTTGGTAGGCTATTTTTATAAAGGGAAAACAAACAAAATTAGTAAATATTTCAAGTCGATCAAAGTCACAATTCACTTACAGACTGACCCGTACAGTTCATCTGAAGTAATTTATGGCATTTTTTATGTACCATAAGTTTACATTTTAGACATTTGAATCCTTGTCGACCTAAACCCCAAATTTGATCACCACAATAAACACAAGGAGTGATTCGGTTGAATCTCTTCGGTTGAAATGTGTGACCATTAAGGTGATAAAGTTTCTTCCAGCGACGAGCACCACGACGATAAATACTTTCTAAACAAAGAAGAAAAGAGAGACATTGAAAGTTAATTAATCGAAACAATTGTCAAAAGAAAGATGAAAGACACAAAAAGAAAAAGAAAAAAGAAAAAAAGAAAAGAAAAAGAAAAGAAAAGAAAAAAAGAAAACACTTACTGTCTTCTCCGGGGCAAAGTAGACCAGGAGCCGCTGGAACACCCGAGAAAATGTGTAAGGTCATTTCTGGCTCTTTATCGGTGTCCAAAGTTAATCTAATGGCCTCATTGTATTCCAATTCCGATGAAATTGTACACGGATCACCTTCGTCATCAATAAATTTAATTGTGAAACTCTGTTGGTTGTCAAAATAAAACAATTCTTTCACATGTTCCAGCAAATAGTTAAAGTCTCTATTAGACTCAATGTAAGTTACATTGATCGCTCCTTCGAAAACTGAATTCACCTTAATCATGACATGAAGCATATTTAAACAATTTATTAATTACAAAATAAATACAATTTTCACTTGAAAATAACAAAATAACCAAGATGGAGACTTTTAAATTTGGGAATTGAAAACAATTTCCAGTTGTTGATCAGACCAACAAATCGATTTTTTATTTTCTCAATCAAATCGATCAATCGAAAAGACTTTTTAGTTCCATTGGCAAAGTAAAGATGTCGCTACATTGACAAATTAATTATTAATTTTTCGCAATTTAATAATTCAATTTTCGAGATTAATTAAGACCCAGTTCGTAGAGATGATTTGTATTGGATTCGAAAAATTTTTAATTTGGTTTCATTTCGTTTTGTCAATTATCTTAATTTGATTATCATTTAGATGGTAAAATAATAATATGATTACATTGCATTTACATGATACAATGGAAAGTGTTTAAGTAATTGTGTTTTCAGAAGCAAAATATAATCAATTATGAGTCTAATCAATGGTTTTAGGATGAGATGTGATTTTGGTTATTTGACAATTATTAACAATCAGTTAAATTGTGCACAAATTTATGTACAAATTGAAAATTAGATGGATTAGGAATTGATTTTTCTCTATAGTTGGTTTGATCAATTTTGATGAATTAAATTATCTGTGAACTTAAGGTGAAATCATTTGGACTTTTATCTTCGTCGATTAGTGTTGTTGATTCTTCTCCAATGTTTCCCGTTGTCACGAGAACTTGATTGTTACCACCAACCTCTTTTAATACTCCGTCGCTATTAACAATTATCGGAATTTGAAATAGATTAGCAGCTATCGAACTTGGAATTGTAATTAGAGCCGATTCCGTTTGTTTAGATGCTGATGTAAGTGATGATGTTGCCAGAGAGTTTGAGGTTGTCGAAGTGATTAATGGAGTGATTATATTGGATGTTGATGTTATTGATGAAGTTGATGGTGTCGATGATGTTAATGATGATGTTAACATTGAACCGGTTGAAGATGAAGTTGAGATTATGTTAATTGTCGTTAAATTGGACACCTTATTTGGATTACGACAACCGCGACATTTACATTGATTACAAGCTTTACTTTCAACATAACATGGACATCGTTGACCACAACAGGTCAATTTACCAGGATTCGGAGTGGCCAGGCCACATCGACATCCTCTACGAACCTTACGATTTACCGATGGTGTTTGATTACTATTGTTATTGGTTAGGGTTGTACTGGTGTTATTATTGTTACTGTTGTTGTTGGTCACTGAATTGTTGGATAATGTTCCGGTTAATATTTTATTTAATTGTGTTGAATCTGCTTTGATTATGTTACGATTTAAAGTAAAAGCTTGAGCTGAACCCGCTTTAAGTATGATACCTGTTTTCGTGTTATCCCCGTTAATGGCCTCACTAAGGGTTATCGATGGAAGTAAATTACCGACAATATTAATACCATTTCCAATACTGGTGATACTGCTGATTCGATTACCATTAGTATTTAAATTGTTGTAACTTTTAACATTATTCACAGTTTTAACATTGATACTATTTCTGGTTTCTCCATCGGCAAGGGAATATGAATGATGGGAAGATGATGATGATGAATTAAGATTAATTTGTAAATGATTTGAAACGTTTCCATGATGATTATTGGTGCCATTGTTGTTGATGTTATTGTTGTTGTTGTTGGTTTGTTGTTGTCCAGGATGTTGAGCATTATAATTGTGATGATTGCTGTTGTTGTTGGTGATGGTGTTGTTATTGTTATGACCATTTGTTTGACGATTGAAGCTTCGTAATGGCGGCGGCTCTGAAAAAGTGTATTTATCATGGAAATTGGATCCTTCGTCAAGTAATTGTCTAAATGTGGTTGGACCATTAAAATTGTTTGGTAACGATGAGTATGAAGCTTGATTTGTTTCGCATACTAGATAACCCCAATTATCAACAATCGATGAGGATAAAATAAATGAAGCCAATTGTTTATAACATTGTAAAAGAATTCGAAGTTGAATATTTTCGATAAACTTTGAATGATCTTTACACCAAGAACAGGAAGGTTTAAGTCTCATTTTACCTCCAACACAAGATTTACAGACATGATGTTGACAGGATGAGACTGTTGATGACATGGGAACATAAAGTAAATTACCACAGACACAACAGGTTAACGATTGTCGCAAGTAGGACATCAAACGATTAATATCATTCCAGGCTCCACTATCATCGATATCTGCTTGGAATAACATTCGAGTTGTGGTTACATATAAACTTAGAGCATTCATTTTGAATGGAACAATGTGAATGAAAAGAGAAGCAGCAAAAAGAAAGAAAGAAAAATAGAAAGGGAAAGAAAGAGATTTACAGAGAGATAGAAAATAGAAAATGAGAAAATTCTAAAGAAAAAGGCAAAGAAATAGATAGAATTAGAAAAAGAAGATTTAGAAATTGGTGAAAATTTTAAAGTAAGTTCGCAGTTAACCGCAACAGTAGAACAATTAATTATTGAGAAAAATTAGGATGACAATTTGATTAAAGTTCCTTTTGATTGTTGATAAAACATAAACATAGAAACACTTGAAAGTGATTGTACAGATGATCCGAATAGGACTTTGAATGGAAGAAGCTGTTTACCTTGGTTACAAAAAGAGAGATTTTCACCAAAAATCTAAGGTCATAAATACGTTCACAGGATAAGACTGACTAGTTTAGCATCACTAGATTAGAATAGAAAAACAAAGTTAATCAATCAACTAATTAAACTAGAATTAAAAACATTACTAATTAGGGTAGAAAAATTGTCAAGAAAAAAAATTCCTTTTCAATTAATTTTCTTTGTTTCCAAACAAACAGTTTGTTCCCCTTCAGGATGTACAGAGAAGCTCAAAAGGCGCGACTCTTTAAGGTTGAATACAATTCGGTAACAATTACAATGAGAATGTTGATCAATTAAGTTTCTATATAAGATGAATTAAAAAAGAATTAAGGTGATGAATGATTAATGATTATGGTTATGAGAGTTTGTTAATCATCTTGGGGATAATTGGTGAGTGATAAGTAATTCGCTTAAAAGTTGAAATGGATCAATTTTTCTGCGCCAAATCGATCGACTTAAATCGCATCGGAACATCTTTAAAAAGCATACACATGAAAACACTCATATGAGTTTCTGTTCAATAAATGGATCCAATTATGAGATTAGTTAAATTGTCACTAATTGTTCAAAATCGGCATAGAAGGGAGTATCGATTAAGAAATATTGTTGATCTTGAGTTTGATTAGCAATCCACAATTAGCATCTGCAAATGAAATACTTTGTTTCCAATTTGTTGATTGTTGAGTGAAATCCAGCACTTGATTGTACGAGTTGTATATAAACGGCTGTTATCTGTTAATGATCTTAATTGTTACAAATGAGTGAAGGTCTTGAAGCGATTTGATTTTGTTTGTTTTGAAAATTAACCAATCCAGTTGTAACTGCCGTCTCCATCATTGTAACAGTTATTAGATTACATTTTCAGGATGAAAATTTGGCAACTCACTGATGAAGTAATTCCAATTACTTATAAGTATTGGTTGTTGGTACCGAGTAATTTACTTATTCTAATAATTAACATTGACCATGAATTCACCAGATCAATGACCATATTTTTAATTCAATTCTCCAAATAAATCGAACTAAAAAAAGGCAAATATTGTCTTGTGGAATTTTTTTTCTGCATCGTGAGGAAAGTCCCGAAATCCAATTAACAGCAATAATACCGGTGGATAATTAGCAACAGGAAAATAAACAACTTTTTTTGGAATTAGTCTTGACCAGATTGATCCAGATTAACTTTAATCTACTCCTAGGGTAAGACCAGAAAGTTGCCTAATAACAGGTAATCTCATCTACCAATGGACTTTTAATGTCAACGGCCTAATAAAGGTTATCCTCTAGGCAAATTTGGTCAACTTTGATTCTAAATCATCCAATTCCAATTCCAATTCCAAATGAAACCACCCTGATTTAATTGCCAATCCATTGAAAAACAACTACAACACAACAGCAAAGAAAAAAAAGAAAATGAAATGAAATCTCAACATAGAATTTAATCTTACCCGTTAACCAATCGAGACACAGATGATTGACCAATTATCATTGAGGAACATTATTACCAATCAATTGATTGCTAAAGATGAAGAAAAAAATCAATGTAATTATTTCATGGTGAGAATTGAACACAAAGAGTCAACAGTTACATTGAACAATCTCAAGATGTTAACATGATGTTCACAGGTAATCAAGATAAGAGTGTCAACAATTAAACAGAATCAACAATCAACCGAAGGTTAATTATCGATGAAGATTCAAGTATTATCACCACAGAAAAGAATAGAAAAAAAGAAATAAAAAATTAACATCAATAAGAAGAAGCAAAAAAATGAAAACAGAAAATTGGACAATCGAATAAGAGAGAATTTTTCCCCCTTCGATTATCCTAATTTCTTAACAGTTTTTTTTTGTTCTTTTCTCTTCCCCCTTTTGTTTAGTTTTTTCTATTTAGAAAAAAAGTAAATTCTTTTTTATCTCATTTCTCTTTTACCCTCTTTCTCTTTAGTGTCTACTTTTTGGAAGATAACATTTTCACTTTCTTTTCGTCTTCTTTTCCGTTTTTTCTCTTTCTCTTTCTACCTTATCTTCTCTTTCTTTTCTCTCTCTTGGAGAAACTTAAAGCTCTCTTAAAACAGACTTTAAGTCAATTTTGAGTTATTCTTAATCATTGGTTCAACCTGATCTGTTTGTTTCTCTCTCTCTTCAACTTTTACCTCTAAACCTTTTTTTCCCTCTCGACATTTGTTGGTTTAGTTTAATTGTTTCAAATCATCTTTTCCATTTTAAATTATGCGTGTGTTAATTGTTTTAGTTTTGCTTTCTCTTATTGTGTCCACTTTGGCTGATGGTCAAAGAAATGGACGTGGTCGTGCCCGTGGTCGAGGTAGAAAACAAAAGGGAAATTGTCACCTCAAAGAAATTGATACTTGTATTGGAAAATTAGATAAATATTCAAGTCGTAATTCATCTAATCTTTTAACTTCATCCCGTGGACTTGATGAGATTTGCACGTAAGTTGTTGATCTTTTATTCTGTTGTAACTTATTGACCAATTTCAAGTTCGGACATTGTTACCATGCAAAAAGAATTAGCATTAGCCCATCTGGAGACAATGTGTCACTTTTCATCTTTGACCTTTACCATTTTCCTCCATTTTGGTTTCCATTTGAATTAATTGGATTCTTCTCTCTTTCAATTGCATCTTCAGTAATTCTCTTGATGTTGTCACTTGTGTTCGTAATTACATGACAAAGTGTGGTACTCCACTTCAACGTGAACTTTTCGAGTTTGGAATTGAACAATTTTCTAAATCAATTGACCAATTTTGTAAACCAGGACCTCTTCGTGAAGGTAAGTAATCTAAACGAAAAGGATTCATCTTTATTTCTTGACCATCGAATCCTTTTTTTTAATATTCTTTTTTTGATTTAAATCCTTTTTTTTTCATTTCCTTAACAGAATTCTTATCCAACTCACCTTGCATTGTTAACAAAGTGATAGCAAAAAATAACTACAGAGAAAAGTGTGTCAACAACTTCCTCTCTACCATAGACAAGACCAATAAGCAAAAAGAGTTGGATGAAAGGTTGGACACTATCTGCTGTTCATACAACCGCTGGGAGGGATGTGCCTTCAGGTAAAACTTTTACTTTTACTTTTTTCTTCTATTTCTCTCTCACCACTCTTGCTAATCAGACGAAAGTAACTTTAGTTAATAATGTAGATGAAGTATAAGAGTAAAAATGAAGAGCTTATAACAGGTAAATTATTAACTCTCACCTGAAATAAACTTATCTCTCAATAATAAGCCAAAAATATCCCGAATAACCTACCTTTTACTTTCGCTTCCTAATCCGGATATTTTCAGATTTTCTGTTTTAAACTTAGAGGATAACTCAGTGATTGGTAATTTTTTTTGTATTTCGGGTGTTTTATTTTCAAAATGGACTCAAAATTGATTACATGCATTATGAAAACATGTTTATCTTTAAATAATCAATTATCATTACAAATCAAATCTTTTCTTTTCCATTTAATTATCTACAGTTTAATCAAGAAAGAGTGTGGAGAACAGGGTAAAACATCAATGCACAATTTCATCGACAAAGCATTTGGAGGTAAGATTATTAATCACAATTGTACACATTCAAAGTAGACATTGAATCAAATAAAAATGATCTCAGCCATTTGATTATTACTGAATTGATTCCCGGAATCAGGTCAAATCAAACGACTGTTATTTTTATTTGATTGAAATTCTATTGATAAAAATTTAAAATAACACCTTAAAATAATCTTTTCATTTCCTGTTATTGTTTCAACTTTTCCAGGGCTAACAAACATGATCTGTTCATCAACTGCTTTCGATCCAACATCCCAACGATGTAATTCACTTTATGCTGCACCAGGAATTAAACCCAAAGGAAAATTAAGTGATAATCCAGTTACTAAATACATTGCATCATACTTTGGATTCCTATTCACCTGAATTATTTAAACAGAATCAAAACCCACCTATAAAAAGATCACCTTTTTTTTATACTAATACTTTTTTTTAAAAAAACAACTTCATCTTGAACACCCTTCCTAGGTTGAGAGGTCATCCCCACATCAATGTGACCTTTGACTATCCAATGTTTTTGGTATATATTTGCTTCACCATCACTAAAAGTGTGCTTTTTAAACGTTTACCGTACACACGACCACTCAAAAAAAAAACAACCTCGACCTGAGTCGAAATAAATTTCTAACTAAATTTTAGTTACAAAAAAACAAACCTATTGGACGGATAATACTCATTCATCTGGTCTAATATGATCAACTATATTGATATCGGAAGTTAATGATTGATAATTTGAAATCTTCCTGATCCCTCAATTAATTTTTCAGTTGATTGTTCAGTTTGCTGTTGAAGGTGTGGTAAGGAAAAGATAAATTGATTGGAGAAACAATGTGAATGTTTCATACGGAAAGAACCTAAATTGCTGATGAAAATCTTAATTTGTTGATTGACCAGTTTTCTTAATCACGATAAAATCAGTCAACGAATTAAAGTCAATTATGTTGATTGGTTGATTTTTTTTTTGCATTTCGTTTTTGTCTCATTGAGAAAAGCAAAAGTTCACAATCAATATTATTGTCAATAGTTAATCTAAATTGTCAACAAAAACCAAAGGAAAATTACTAATTCCAGTTGATTACAATCAGCGTTGTCATTTTCGTGCAATAGTTAAACTTTCACTTTGATTTCCTCAGCTAATCAACCTAATTTTTTCCCCAATCCACTCAATGACAAAGTATCATGATCATATTTCAACAATTTAAAGTTAATTGCAAAAAAACGTTAAAAAACCTTCAAATTATCAACAGTTATTGTTGACAATTTGATTTCTCAATTGACAATCAACAAGTTGTGACATTTGAGATGATGAAAACTACTTACCTTTACTCAAATCAATTATTAAGACAACAGGTAACTAATGAACAATTAAAAGTTTGATTACTTTAGCAATCTAGTCTTTTAATCATAATTAAAAATCCAAATTGAAACAATCAGTGAAAACCATGTTTAACTAATTGCAATTGATTTGGTTCCCTATTTAATAATAGTAAATTGATTTTCCAATCATTTTTTTTTCTCAAAACTTAACTGGTGTTTAATTGTTTGACCTTACAAACAATTAACTTACCTAATTTAATGAAGGTCCTTCAGGTTAATTAGTGTCAACAATTGAAAATCAATTAACTTTTATTTCAACAATTAAAACAACAATTTAAAATTTCATTTTTTCTCAACACTTTCACCAAATTATGATCACAATCAACTCTTGCTCTCTCTCTCTCTCAACCCAACAATTTAATCCTAACGGTGACAATTAACCATTTGATTACAGGAAATTATCGGTTGATTGGTTAATTCAAAACACGTAATAAATTGCTGTCTAAAGTTCAATAAATTGGTAAAGTTAATTACAATTTAAGTTACAATTTAATCTCTAATAACTATCGATGTAAACAATTAACTAATCAGTCAAATCAGTTAATCTAATTGTAGATCTTTGGTGAAAACTTGAATCAGTTCTAGTTAATTGTAACTAATCAGGAGAAATCATTAAATCGGAAAATTTCATAACAATTAACAATGAAGAAAAAAAATCAATTGTTACAATTAAAGTTTTCTCTCTCTATCTCTCTCTCTTTGTTTTTTATTTCAGTAACAATTAACTAATCAACCTAATCTAATATACGAGTTGGTAATTTAAACTTGGCCTTGTTGTAACTATGATTGAAGATGTTAATTGTTAACACCTTGATTATCAACAATTAAATTTGATTGACATTTATTGGTGACCAATTTATTAATTGGTTTATTAACTTTCTAACGATTTAGTTTTTATTTATAAATTTTTTTCTCATACTAATGACAATTAATCACAAGTGATCAAATGATTTTGTTGAACATTTTGTGATCACAATTAACTAATAACAATTAAGAGTGAACAGAAAAATTTAAAAAAAGCTTCTAATGATCACCAGATAATTAGTTAGTTTTAAGAGTGAAATAAATTATTTGTTGATTACAATTTAAAGTAACTACAATCTAACCATTATCAAGCTTCATTAACCAGACAAACTTTTAACAACAATTAAAGTTAATCATTTCAATTCATTAATTAGTTTGAAACTTTTTCTCATTTACATTTACAGTAAAATGCTCTAAATCTTAAATATCTTGTTCACATGAAGGATACATAGAAAATAAAGTGGAAAATATCATCGAACTAAATTAACTCAAATTGATTGCGACAATTAAGATTGAATTAAATTGCGAAAAATTAATTGTCAATGTAGCGACATCTTTACTTTGCTAATGGAACTAAAAAGTCTTTTCGATTGATCGATTTGATTGAGAAAATAAAAAATCGATTTGTTGGTCTGATCAACAACTGGAAATTGTTTTCAATTCCCAAATTTAAAAGTCTCCATCTTGGTTATTTTGTTATTTTCAAGTGAAAATTGTATTTATTTTGTAATTAATAAATTGTTTAAATATGCTTCATGTCATGATTAAGGTGAATTCAGTTTTCGAAGGAGCGATCAATGTAACTTACATTGAGTCTAATAGAGACTTTAACTATTTGCTGGAACATGTGAAAGAATTGTTTTATTTTGACAACCAACAGAGTTTCACAATTAAATTTATTGATGACGAAGGTGATCCGTGTACAATTTCATCGGAATTGGAATACAATGAGGCCATTAGATTAACTTTGGACACCGATAAAGAGCCAGAAATGACCTTACACATTTTCTCGGGTGTTCCAGCGGCTCCTGGTCTACTTTGCCCCGGAGAAGACAGTAAGTGTTTTCTTTTTTTCTTTTCTTTTCTTTTTCTTTTTCTTTTTCTTTTTGTGTCTTTCATCTTTCTTTTGACAATTGTTTCGATTAATTAACTGTGTTCAATGTTTCTCTTTTCTTCTTTGTTTAGAAAGTATTTATCGTCGTGGTGCTCGTCGCTGGAAGAAACTTTATCACCTTAATGGTCACACATTTCAACCGAAGAGATTCAACCGAATCACTCCTTGTGTTTATTGTGGTGATCAAATTTGGGGTTTAGGTCGACAAGGATTCAAATGTCTAAAATGTAAACTTATGGTACATAAAAAATGCCATAAATTACTTCAAATGAACTGTACTGACCAATCTGTAAGATTTTTTTCACTGTTACTTATTAGACAAAAATGATGCTAAGATTTTGAGTGACGTTTAATCTTGACTAATTGTTGTTCTCTTTTCTCTTTCTTTTAACAAATCTAGCCTACTAACATTGGATCTTCCAGTCAATCTGTTTCACCAGAGCCTAAGCAATCATTACCTGTTAGAAAAGGAACCGGACGTTACAGGAAAAACGCGCATCGGACAAGAGATGCATCAGATGAAAGTGAAGACAATCAACCACAGCGATCAGATGAACTGGTGGTCGCTGAAAATGGAGCTCGTCATTATTGTTTAGATGATTTTGATCTTCTACGAGTTATTGGTCGAGGTTCATATGCCAAAGTTTTATTAGTTGAACTGAAAGAGACCAAAAGACGATATGCAATGAAAGTAATCAAAAAGGAGATCGTTGCTGCTGATGAAGACATTGATTGGGTCCAAACAGAGAAACACATTTTCGAAATAGCCACTGGATGTGATTTTCTGGTCGGACTTCATTCTTGCTTTCAAACACTTTCGAAATTATTTTTTGTCATTGAATTTGTTAGCGGAGGTGATCTAATGTTCCATATGCAACGTAAACGTAGATTACCCGAAGATCACGCAAGATTTTACGCTGCCGAAATTTCATTGGCACTAAATTATCTGCATGAAAAGTTCATCATCTATCGAGATCTTAAATTGGATAATGTTTTACTTGACCAATATGGACACATAAAGTTAACCGATTACGGAATGTGCAAAGAGGGTATTCGACCTGGTGAAACAACCGCCACATTCTGTGGTACACCTAATTATATCGCTCCGGAGATAATTAAAGGTTGCGAGTATTCATTCAGTATTGATTGGTGGGCGTTCGGTGTTCTACTATTCGAGATGTTAATCGGTAAATCTCCTTTCGTTGTAACACAAGAGGAAGAAGACGCTCTATTCCAAGCTATAATTACCACGAAGATTCTTATTCCCAGGTCAATTTCCGTGAAAGCACAAAACGCCCTAAGAGGTTTTCTCGATAAAAAGCCAGAGACCCGATTAGGTTGTGCCCTGGGTGGCAACGGATTCCTCGATATTAAAAATCACCCGTTCTTTAAGTGTTTGGACTGGGAACTTTTGGCCGAGAAAAAGATTCAACCACCTTATGTACCTCAAATGGAAAACGATCCCTTGAAACATTTCGATCCGAGTTTCACAACGGAACCAATTGAATTAACTCCACCCGACATGAAGATCATCGATAAAATTGATCAATCAGAATTTGATGGATTTGAATTTATTAATCCAGAAATTATGACGATCGAGGAAGCGGTTTAAATTAATCAATTAATTTAGTCTATTAACAAATGGAAAACCTTTTTCAGTTTTCTTTATTTTTTATTATTGATCATTATTATTATTATTATTATTATTATTGAAAATCAATTGTGATTAAACAAAATAAGCAAATAAACAACGAAAAATTTAATCCCCGATATCCACTAAATCGGAATGGAACAGACTAATAATTTAAGTCAACAATGACAATGATTCCAATTGATTATCATTTGATTGTTTTCGGGGTAAAGATTTAAATTAGCAAAGTAAAAAAAAAGCGAATCCAAATTAATCAACTTATTTTAAATTATCAATCCATCGAGAAAAGTCAATAAATTGTTGACAATTAAGCCGTTTGCATAGAAACTTAGATAAAGTTTCATTTGTAAAGGCAAATTGTTGAAACAATTGATGTTTATTAATTACAAGATGATTTATCCTTTTTAGATCAATTGATGAAATCATTTTGAAACTTTTGATAAGACAAAAAAAAAAGAAAAGTAAATAAATCTTATTTTTAGTTAGAGTAACACTACGACTAATTAATATGGATAATTGATCATGGTGATGGTGATGATAATCTCTTTGGATGTTGTTCTAATTGTCGGGGATTAAGAAGATGAAGGCGATGATTGATACAATTGACACTTTAAATCTCTTGCCATCGGATCCTTTGTTGATAATAATTGATGACAAATTGAGGCCACTTTGCGTTTGCTACAGTCGAAGGGATAAAATGTCTCTCATCTTTATTTTTCCACTTCATCTTGATCAATAGACCATCAGGATGATGGTGAATTACTCCAATTACTTTATCGGGAATTAAATTGGGATCAATTTTTCTCATTATTTTCTCTGGATGGATTTTAAACATTTTGAATCTCAACACGAAGACACAAAACTGAACACAACTGAGAAACTGAAACAAGAGAAGAGCAGATTTACTCTAACAATGTAATTAGAAGAAGCAGAAGGCTTAATTAATAGAAAAAAAGACAAGATTAATTAAAGAAGAAATGAATCAACGGAAATTAAACAAAAGCGAAAACAATTTAAAGATGAGAGGGAAATGATTTTCTCAATTTAACCCAAAAAAAGTTCCAAGTGACACTTAACCTTTTCGACCACCAGACGGCGACCAAAGTGGAGAAAAAGCGCTTCCAACGAAAATGAGCGGGAAATTTGAATCGAAGGAAAATTCGACGAAAAAAAGTTTTTTCCAATTCTTTGGAAGAAGAATAATCCAGATGGCGACTTATGGAAGAAGAAAAAGAAAATGATGATAAAGATGAAGATGAAGATGTACAAGTTGAGAGGAAATAAAACAGAGAAACATGATCATGATGGTTAGAACAGAACTTGAATAAAAAATCGAACCTGAAAATTGTTCTCTTTTTATATGTTAACCAAATGTTCAAACGATTTTTGATAATTTGGAAATAATTTAGAAAAGAAAAGCTTGTTTTTATTTTCTATTCCAATTGAATTCTAATAATCAAACAATATGCAGTTAATTAGTTGAGTTCTTTTAACCATCTTCTCAGAAATTTGTTCAATAATAAGTATTTTTATTTCTAAATTTTGTCATTTTTAATTGTAACAACTCAACCTTTCTCCTAATGTCAATTAAACTTGCGACAACAATCAAATTTACTTTTTATATACATTTTGTGTCAAAAAGAAAACAGCAAATCAACTAAATCAATTAAATTGTACTTTTTGTGTTGTTCACATTAATAGATATAAATTTAACATCGTTATAATTGTTATTGTGTTTATATGTAAAAATTGTTTCTACATTGAATATAAATTATCAGCTAATTGTTAACCCAAAATGAATCTGAATCTGTGTAAATCAAGAGGTGGAATTAGTGCTCGAACTAAATCGCTACGTGAAAAATTTAGTTCCAAACGGAGTTACTCTGAATTAACTTTCAAAGATTCGACCACTTCACTGACCGAAACAACTGATTTATCATCACCAGGATCATCATTTAAATCACGAAATAAACCACAGGTAATTTGATTTGATTACTAACAATTAATGGAGAGAAGAAGAAGCAAAATTTGTATTCTCCAATTGTTCATATACTTGTAGCACATATACAAGAGTTCAGCTCATTGCTTTTCTCTTATTATTATTACATTAACTGAGAAACATGATGAACATGATGAAGATAATGATGATTATCATGATGATATTTTGATTATTCTTAATTCAACAGAAACATTAAAATTCCTACAATTCATCTGAAGTCCTCTCGCTCTCTCTTGGCAAGAATCTTTTTCTCAATCATTTTCTAGCAACCTCATCACTCTCACCATCATCCTCATCCTCATCCTTATCTCCATCTCCATCTCCATCTCCATCTCCATCATTATCAACAAGAATAAAACCAAAGGGAAGATATAAAGAGATACTCATCATCGTCATCATCATTTTCCCCTTTTAATTTTCGTAATGTTATATTCCCACTCTAAGATATTTTTCTTACTCTTATTAATTTCAAGTTCATTTAGCTAATTCACCCAACATGTAAATTCATCATTACGATAAAACTAAACTTTTCAATTACAAATAAAACTAATAACTATCTCTACTACTACTCTAATTATCTTACAATTTTCCCTTCTAATTAAGATAATGATATTAGACTAAATCAGTTATCTCTCATAATGTAATCAAGTTGTTGGTTTTAATGACAATAATTTAAGTCGAAATCCTTTCACATCCTGATTGTGTCTCTTCATTGATGTTCATGTTGTTGTTGTTGTTGTTGTATTATTGTCGTTGTTGATGTTGATGCTTTTGTCAGTGACAATAAATGTTTGTTATTTTTATTTGTCATTGAATATAAAAGCATCACAAATAATGATGATCACTGTCATCTTCAATCTCTTCACTCCCTCTATCCCATTTTCATCTTACACTTTGTTTCCTCATCACTTTCACTTCTCAATCATCATCATCCTCATCTTCATCTTCATCATTCTTCACCATTCAACCCAAATGATGTACTCATAATATTCAACGATAAACAAGCAAACAAAAATTCATGTTTCTCCATCATGATTGTTACTCTAAATATAAGAAACTAACCATGTTCATCATTTTCTATGTTCAATTCCAATTTGAATCTTTTCTCTCATTCGATTTCTTCTTCCTTTTTTTCTCATCTTTACCTTTTCATCTCCGCTCTACATGATAATTCATGAAAAGTTTCTCTCAGAATTCAGAATATTGAATGTTATTCAGATTCTTGATGACAAACAGGTAGAAAAAGAAATCAACTTGAATAGTAGATCTCTCTCTCTCTCTCTCTCTCTCTCTCTCTCTCTCTCTCTCTCCATCTTCAGTTCCCCTGAAAAAAGTTCTTAGGGAACAGCCAAATACGCTGAACATGAACCTCTGAATAATATAATAGTTTCCATTTATAATGATGAATCTTGAGTCGTTTACTTTTCACTCATCACCGTTAATAATAATAACAATCACAAGTATCAATGTTAAGTATCATTCATCTCATCATCATCATGAAGATAATGATGATCCTTCATCATCTTCACCATCCTCACCCATTGAATCCATTTCTTTCAATAATTTTTTTCTTCATCTTCTTCTGGTTTCATTTCATGGTATTATCACATGATAACATGATATTATTAAACTTCATCATTACTGGATCATCATCATCATCATCATCATCATCTATGATTACTTTCATGTTCAACTGAATCTATTACCCTGAACCATCATTCAGAATCAATCAGATAAATTTTAAAGCAAAATAAAATTAACACTGTTACTATTTTATTATTTTAATAGTTCACATTCACCATCAATTTAAACAGTTTTTCTTGTTATGTTCATCATTGGATTGGTCCATGAAATTAATTGTGTTGATAATGATGGAGATTGAGTAAATTTATCTTGAAAGTGATTTAATTTTTGTACCAACAAAAAAATAGTTAAAGGTAAAAATGTCACCGAAAACTGTTGACAATTAAATGATCATCATGAAAAGATGGACACCAAATTGAGTAACCATGAATCCAGATAGAAAATTGGAAAAAGTTGACATTTATTATCATCAGAATCACAATTATCTACTGAATCATCATGAAAGTAAAGTAATTTACAAAGTGGTAACAATCAAATGAAATGAAAAGACAAATATCGGGTGACCGAAAATAAGTGAGCATCTCACGAACCTTAAGTTTTGGACCCACGTTTCTATACATTTTAAGAAAGTAAATTTGACGCTGAGTCCAAAAATGTTCGGCTTTTTTTTCTAGGACGCACGGTTCTCAGGATATCGAGTGGCCTGAAAAGCGAACGGTTGACTTTGGACTCAAAATTTTCGGTCAAAAGTTATTCTTTTTGACCTATTATCTCATATATCTAAGCTCATCATTATCTGAAGTAAGGTTATTGAGATCTAACATGGCCGAAATCAACGAAAATTGCTCTTTAACTTTCCCATTATAAATTTCTCATAGAGAAAATCGCGATTTTGGCCTTTAAATAAGAACCACAGTCGCATTTGAACTTCGAAAATTCTGAAAAAATTCACGATTTGTATTTGGTTGATGGCGCTTTCAATGGCGCTTGAAATTTTATTCTAGGACCTACCATTCTTGAGATGCTCACTCATTTTCGGTCACCCGATAGATGATGGAGATGAATGAAGATGAGGATGATGAGGATGATAAGCTAATGATGATGATGATGATGATTTTTAAAGTTTGACAATGATGAAAGATGATGAAAGGGATAATCATAACTGTCATGAATATGATAGACTAGAAATGTTCAAATTCATTGAACCATTTCAACTAAAATCTTGAATTTCATCAGTAAATTGTTGATAATCACCAACTCATCATCAGTAATTAAAACTAATATAAAAATAACTCAATTGACAACAATCAAAAAGCAACATTAAACCATTAAGATTGAAATCACAATTTACATAAGCAGTTAACAGATAATTTGAATTGAACAATCAAATTAATTTGCAGATTAAATTTTTTCTTATATTTCTAATCATCGCCATGATTGTTTTGGTAAATTGTTGCTACTAATCACAAATGATTACAATCAGCAAGATTGTTAACAGATTTGATTGAAATGAAGTCTCATGATTAACCAAAATGATGATTACAAATAACTTTCTCTTGGATCCAATCCAATTCTTGAACTAATAATATTTACAGTGATTTAAATTGTTGATTAGATATTGATTGCTGATGATAAATCATTTCAATTACTTACAATTGTGTTTATGTAATCATTTAAAGGGTAAACAATTTAAGATTTAATTGGCAATCAGTCCAATATTTGCAAATCTATTATTGACCTTTGATTATTATCGTTATTGATTAAGAATGAGTTTGATTAACGATTTAATTTTGATTAAATTTATGTAATCACCATGAACATGAATCAATAAATTACAATTTGAAAGGATTCAACAAAAAAGTTCAGCTAATCAATGAATTGAAATTGAAATTGAGAATCAGATTAAAATAATTTTAAGAAACTTTGATTTATTTTTATTTGATAGTTTGTTAGTTAATCCCATTAACCAATTTCCATGTTACAAGATAAACTAATTAACTAAATTTAAAACTTTTAATCAGTTAGATAAACACGAGTAATTAACTAAACACATGAGAAAATGGCATGTAATTAGTTGGTTGTTAACATAAATGATAAACTTTTTGTTTACTCACAACAATTAATACAATAAACAATCATGATAACTGTTGATTTGTTGAATGATTAACGTTAATTGTTTAGCCAAATTTTCATCACTCAACAATAATGATCATCAAACCTCAACAATAAAGTTGATTATTGATTAAACTACAACATTTTAGTTGGGAAAACTAATCAAATGATGAGAAATTAACTCGATAATTTCAATTATCATGATAAACTTTTGGTTATAATGAGTTTTTATCTGATTATCATTAACTATCTATCAGAATCATTAACTGAATCATTATCTTGGTGTTAAAATCAGAGATTTCATTTCATTTAGATAACAATTGAATTCGGTGAACTTTTTTTCCCTCTTCTTCATCAATTTATCATGTCAAGAGTTGAATTCAATTTAGAATCAGAGATAAAGATAAAGTTCAGACGTTTGAATAACCTTTTCCATGAAGAAAATGCTGATTACCATCTTCATGGGAAAATTTTCATTCTTATTCGAGATCAATTGTGTATACATTTCATTATCTGAGAAAAGTTTTTCTAATAATAAAAAGAAAAGGGAAACAACAATTTAAATACAATATACTTTTACCTGGAGATGGTCAAGATAACCTTTAACTGACCAAAGATACGACATTTTGTTCAGATACTTTTGAGAATTGAATGAAAAAAAAGAGAAAAAGAAAATAACAGCGTGTAAGGTAATCTAATATAAAGAATAAGAATGCTGACCAGTAAGTTGACCATTTCAATTTCGAATAAAAATTTTCCAAAAGCAATAATTATTTTCACTATTATAGATTCCTCAGAGTTTGGAATTCGATATCTCATTTCGATTTCAATAAATCAACTTTCATATTTTTCTCAGTAAAAGAATAAAATTTTAAACAATTTCAGAATATTGTTTCATTCTGTTGGTCTGAACAAGCAAAGGCTTGGGTCTGAAATCTTGATACAACTGACCACAGTTTTGAATAGGGCTGAGCTTTTTTTCATGAATTCTTTGACGGGTGTTTGCCTTAATATCTCAAGAACCAAGGATTAGAGGTCATATTCTAGACAGAAAAGCCATGCGAGTCGTTGTCATCTCTATACTCTTGCGAATCCTCACCTCTTCAATAACCTTTTTGACCTCGAAATTTTTGAAATAAAGTGAATAGGTTTCGACGAAAAATTTAGAGGCAGAATTTGAAACTTATTTCGAGTGATAGCCAAAGAAAAATGGCAAAAGAGGCTCAGTTGTCTTGTACAATACTTTGAGAGAGACTTGGAAGCTTCGAAAAGTTCAAACTCAG